CGCAAATATCAGATCAAAATTCTCCAAAATCAGCAGTCAACAACTCAATTACTGACAAATCCATACATAATTCTCAGGTACATCATCGCCATTGTTTTTTCAAGGTACTGAACAAAATGTTGAGCACGTCTATCAAAATCTACAGCCCGCACAATCGCGCTTATTTTCAATTTCAAATCTAATTGATGAAAATCAACCATACAAAAACGGACAAGAAACACCAGGAAATGATGTAGGCGAGTTCTTGTATTTTAAATAAATTGAAGTGTATTGCACTTAACAGTTTTTATGTATTTTAAAAGGTATAAACTTTACAAATGTGAAGTCATAACGGTTTTTATTTACTTTGAAATCAATTTTTACGAAAGTTAAAGTTTTTTTTTCAATTTTAATATGATAGTTAATGTTCTTTTAATTTTAATATGGAAGTTAGTTTTTTTTTAATTATAAAAAGTAAATGTTTTGTTATTTTTATACCAAAATACGTTAAATAAGTAAATTAAGATAAGTTGTTTTTTCTAAACGTTTTTTAACTAATAGTTATTCTGTTAAGTTGCTTTTAATAAAATTTAATTTTAAAAGGTTGAATTTTTTTTATATGTTATTGTAAATTTTTAGTGTTAAATTATTCGGTATTATTGTTTTTACTAAAACATTGTTTTAAATAGTGAGATTAGTTAGGTACCTAATTTATTAATCCTTGCCTGCTGTTACGCGATTATGTTGCCATGAAAGACACCCTTCTTCATTGAAATACTTCAAAAATATTTCACGTACTTCCTTGGCTTCTTCTCCAGCATGACGGTTATGTCCACGTTGTAAATTCGTTAAAATAAGTCCCTCTTTATCTATATTTATGTTTCCAGAATTGTCATTATATTCATTAGACAACATAAACGAATCTTTACAATTTCTTCGTAAAAAATTATGAAGTGTGCAACAAGCTAACACTGCTCTTTCAATATTTTCTAATTTAATGTTAATAGGAGTATGAAAAATGCGAAAACGTGCAGGTAAAATCCCAAAGGCATTTTCTACTACATTTCGACTTCTCGATAGCCGGTAGTTGAATACTTTACGTTCATAATTTAGTTCCTTTGATTGTACAGTTTTAAAAACTTTAGCTTTAATGAAAAAGCCTCATCACCAATAAAAACATAAGGTAAATTATTTTTACTTCCTTGAAATTCACACGGAGATGGAATATTTAATGTGTTATATTTAAGCTTATTATAAAAATTTGTATTTTCAATAACACCTCCATCTGAGACACGACCATTAGTCCAGAAATCACATAATATAAATTTGTAACAATCTGACTACGCTCGTTTGATGGTGTTGAGAATAAATGAACAAGAGTTTGGTTTTTCTTTATAATTTGAATACTTTTTATTTAATTAATACAAAACACGATAAATTTACTAAGTCCAAAATGACTATTTTAAATAATGAAGACTAGCGAGATGTGACTTTCATATCCTAGTTCCTAGCTCTTCGTTGGTGTTGGTCCGTCTAGTTCGTCTAGCTCGGTGTCGTTGGTCCGTCTAGTTCGTCTAGCTCGCTGTCGTTGGTCCGTCTGCCGAAGCCTATTCGTGCGACGTATTTTAAAATGGTGATCCTTGGATCGTATCCCTGCCTATTATCCTACTACTTTACCATATAAGGTCATTCCGTGGGCGTCCACGCGCTGCACACGCCGGATGTCCCTTGCTTATCTGGTCGTTGTCATCTCTACAGAGGCAACACAACACTTTTAGTGTGAACTATTTTAATAATATTCATATAAGTAGTTATATATCTATGAACATATACGTTTCGAGGCCACGCGCAATTTATCATAATGAATAGGCGCTTTGTAGGCCTCCCTCAACTATTATATATATAGAGTTCTTATCCAGGTTATTTATAATATTTTAACAAAGTCACAGCTCGCTACAAATTCGTAGTTGGCGTTTGCAATCGCCATTAAAACTAAACTAAAGAATCCCTTATAGTTGTAATAAAACGAACCACTTTTGGGAGGACAAGCTATGGATACATGTTTACCATCAACTGCTCCCAAACAGTGAGGAAAATTCCATTTTGTCTCGAACTTTCTTGAAATTTCTTTCCATTCATCTTCTGAATTTGGAAACTACATAACGTTATAAACGAAAAAAATTAATATTACATTTAACAACTAGATCGACAATGATATAAATAATTATATGAAAATAAAAATACTAATTTACTTTTAAATAATCTTTCCATAGAACTTAAAAAATAGCAGTACAGGTTTCAGGTATTATCTGTCCAAGTGATTGAGGAGATATAGCTACAGAGTACTTTAAATCATGCATACTTCTTCCAGTCGCCAAAAATCGCAAGGTTGTCAACAGCCTCTCGTGTGGAATGATAGCCGTTCTCATTACAGTATCCTGTTTTTTTATAAGTGGTGTTACCAAATTTAAAAGTTCGATGTATGTGTCCTCGTCCATACGCAAATAGTTTCGCCAGTCATCTGGTTCTAGGCGTAAATCGTTTAATAAATTTACATGAGAGTAAGTGCTTCGTTTTTGCAACCAATTTTTTACCCATTTTGAGCGCTTGCTTGGTTCATACTTCAACTTTTTATAGCACGCAATAGCAGTCGAAATTAAACACAAATCGTCGGACATCATGAAGTCGCCACATCTAACTGATCAACGATACGAATCGTGTGTAGTGAATCATGAGCTCCGACTTACCTGAACACACTTACTTTAAGTGAAGTTTGAACTAAAGACTAAACGTGTTTACGCAGCTTTACGGAAACTAAATAGTAGTGAACGAAAGTAGTGTAAAATAGAGATACCGCCACCGCCACCGCCACCTCTCCTACTCACCGCCCAGCCATGGGTCGCCCGCCACCTCTCCTACTCACCGCTCAGCCATGGATCGCCCGCCACCTCTCCTACTCACCGCTCAGCCATGGATCGCCCGCCACCTCCCATACTCACCGACTTGCCATAGAAATCATGCCCCCCCCCCCCCAACAAACACCATGCAACTAGTACTCCTCTACGAGCCTAAGATACCGCCTCGTCTCCCACTACACCTCTGATATATTATATGTATAATCCCTACTACTCTATTACTCACACCATACTTAATAATATATTATAACCATTAATAGTTGAGCGTGTGAATATCAGTCGCAGTTTTGATTTAATAGTGTCAAGTTGTAGTTTCAGTATTGATTTAACAGTGTTAATATGGCAGGACCAATAAGTGAAATGAAACGGATATACAATTATGTTGCACCTACATCTCCACATGAAGTCATGGATTGCTTTAATAATTTTACAATCGACTTTGAAAATCACAAATTCTTAAACGTCGGATTCGATCCAAAAGATGAGTTCAATATTGTACTGTGAATAATTACTCCGTCGCGGTATGTAAATATTTCATCAGACTTCTTGAAGCGAATTTATTCACTCATGGGACATGTTTTGTCACACGTTCTCGATCCTGTTGTAAAATATAAAAAAATTATTTTTTTGGAAGATGAAGTCACTTTGCTCACAAGTATGGTATATAAGGGAGTGCATGTATTGGTCATAGAGTCGAAAAAAATAAACGGATGTAGAATCATATTAAGTCGAAGAGATTTGATGACAATTCAAGATTTAGAGTGGCCCATTTTTTAAACCATTTCAAGAAAAAACTATATCGTAAAACCTATTACAGTGAAACCTGTATATAACGGACAGTAACGGGACCAAAATAGTTGTCCGTTGTAGACAGGTTTCAATGTTTTAAAAATTACAATTTGTACGTACATTTGTATTGTTTTATATTTTATAATATGTATTAGGTATAATCTTTATTAATATGTATTATACACATACATTATAAATTTAATTTTAATTATTTATTTTATTATGTACAATTATGTATGTATTTGTATAAATGTATTATGTAATTATTTCTTAAAAAATGATTCTATTGATTTTTTTTTTTACTTCGATTTGGTCATTTCCAACTCGTGATGAATAATTAATTCTCTCACATACGAAAATCCCTTTTCATCTCCTTTATTTAAATAAAATTCTTTCAGACGAATAAGTTGTTCAAGAGCTTCTGAATAATTTGCAAACGTCTTAATTTCAGAATTTTCTAGTTGGTCATCAGCTTGTTGCTCATCATCGGATTCCACGGGATTTAATTCAGTTCGAATGTCATCTAAAATTATAGCTATATCATCTGAGCTACATTCTGTAGACAAATTACTGTCTATTGTGGCAAAATCGTCATTTCTAGGCAACGGAAGAAGCTCCATTAATTCTATCAACTCATTCCCATTCACTTCATTTTCGATTTCTGGAGGTTCACTGGACGGAAAATCTGCTTTTTTGAAACAATTTGTGATTGTTAATGATGAAATTTGTGACCACGCTTTTTTCACCCATGTAATCTCTTTTAAAACATCAATTTGCTTTGCCAGGTCGTGTGCATTTTGAGCGTCCTCCAGATTCGCAATAATGTGTTGTAGTGCGAACTTGCGGTAAAAAACTTTGAAATTTTGTATTATTCCTTGGTCTAAAGGTTGAGAAGTTGATGTTATATTTGGAGGAATTGTCGCATTGTCAAGTAACAATAAAATTTTTCTGTTTTGAGTCTGTTTAGAGTCATTTGCTGATCGAGTCGTTGAAGCCAGTCTGTCATTATATGAGTAGTCATCCATGCTTTACTATTCGCCTTCCATTCTACTGCCAGTTTACTAACATCAATTCCTTTAAAACACCTTGGTTTGACAGATTTTCCAATAACGAGTGGTTTAAGTTTTTCTCCGGACATACTGACACATAGAAGAACAGTTAAACTTTCCTTAGCTATTTTTCCACCAGAGCATGATTCCCCTTTGTAAGAAAACGTTTTGTCTGGTAATGCTCGGTAAAACAGGCCAGTTTCATCAGCATTGAATGTTTTGTGGCTCATACCCTGTCACTATTTCCGAAATTTTCGATTTCCATTCATTAACAATTGTTAGATTTGTAGAAGCTGATTCTCCGCAAATCGATTTAAAAACTATATTATGCCTTACCTTGAAGCTCTCTAACCAGCCATTGGAAGCTTTGAAATCTTCACACTCGATTTCACGGGCAACTTCTAAAGCTTTTGCTTGAATGATTGGTCCAGTTACAGGCACATTTTTATTTCTCACACGGTTAAACCACTCTAAAACAATTTTATCAATCAATTCACCTGGCCCGTTCCTCTGGAATCGGCGAGATTTTTCGTTTGTGGAATTTTCGTTGTATCGACGTAAAATATTTTCTTTATTCTTTAAAACTCCGGCCACTTGCGTTTTACCAATGCCAAATTTGTCAGTAAGTTTACGAATAGACCAACCTCCGTTAGAGTCTTTAAAACGAATAATATCCACCTTTTGTTTTAAATTTAAAGCTTTACGCGGCACGGGAGGTGGCATTGCTAAGGAAAAAACAACTCTGACTGCGAACCGATATAAACTGAATAAAAACGTTTGATACTCATGGTTATCATTTATACGTATTGCAATTTATATCTGGATATCTTGGACTTTATAAATTCAATAGGTACTCGCAATTAGCGTTATTGTAATCGGCGATAATGTAATTGGTCGTAATCCGTGTTTTCACTGAATGACCTAATTGCGTTCCTTATCGACGCTGTTTCGATGTATATATGTATGTATGTATGTATGTATGTATGTATGTATGTATTTTTGTCCGTTATGAAATTGTTGGAGTGTCCGTGTCCGTAATAGAAGGAGTCCGTTATAGACAGGTCAAAATACATTAGAATGCCTATCTTTTTGCCGGGACCTGGTCATTTTGTCCGTTAAGAGTGGTGTCCGTTATATACAGGTGTCCGTTAAGTCAGGTTTCACTGTATTTTAAATCAACTCGATCAAATATCCGAATACCTGAAGACTGATTTCAATATTGATAAATACGCAACACGCGAAGAAGTAATAACAATAATTAAAGTGATTCATATCGATTTAGTTGCAAAGCATATACCAAAGAACAACCAAAGTTTTATAAACCAGATCAAATTATTCGCGACTGAACCGCTGGCAATCAACTGGATGACGGAGAATTCGCTAAAAGTATGAATATATATATTATTTTGAAATTATTTAACATATTTTGCATTAAATTAGGCTGCAGATGAGGAACTGATCAAATTTCTCCCGCCTACCCAGAGGATGCAAGAAGTTGAGGAATTAAAGGTAAAAATAACATACGATTTTTTTATAATACGATTACTTATTTCTATTTTATTTTAGTATAATACTGAAACCTTTGACATGAAAATGCTACAGCCATCACCACCAAGATACTCAAGTATGTCTCCATTGATGACATATAACGAAGATGATTTATCACAGTCACGGGTAATTTAAAATTAAAATAATAAAATATTGAATAATTAAATGTTATTATTTATTTATAGGCAGCTGACGAGGAGAGGGGGTTCAGAGAATATTCATCCACACATTCGGACACAGCATGGGCACCAATTCGGAAAACCAAACCAAAGGTGATATATATATATTATATAATTTGTATGATAAATAATTATACCTTTTTATAGGCTGTTGGCGAGTACGACGGTCCGACATATTTTAACAGATGGCCATCATCCCCACCACCTCTGATCGACTACTCAGACTGCAAGTCAGCAAAATCATCTAATAGGTGTATTAAAAAATTATTTTATTAATAATATCCTATTAATGATGATAATAAATATTCTGTATATCATAACATGTGTTATTTCCTTACGTTATACGTACCTCCAACCATATATCTTACTATAGAGTGGGGATTCACTCCCACTCTCAACGAGCGCTAGATTGTTCTGCATAAAACGCGCGACATGAGCATAGGCCAAGTCAGTCGCAACCAGCTCTTAAAGTCATAACAATTTATGCGTTTAATCCGTCATAATGGTTACTAAACTTATTGATTGTTCAACTTTTTTCGTGGATGATAATATTTTTGTAAATATTGGCCTTGATCCAGATTTCTTGTTTAATTGTGTTCTGTGTATTACGAGCAACCACAATGTGTGAAAATAAGTGTGGCCTTATATAAATCGCTGAATGTATTACTTAACAACTTAAACTTTTTACGACCTTCCCATTTACTGTTGGAGAAGTTTAAATTGATATCAATAGAAGAATGCAACGGTGACAACATTCTGTCTCTTAAATGTCTACAGCAAGATCAGAAGATACATCTGACTAGGGAGAATGTTCCTAGGATCTTGGAACTAAGTGATACCATGGAAGAAGTTATTGAGATGAAAAATATGTACAGACGGCCAGTCGTATTACTTCAGGCTTGTAGGATTTCATTATTTCTCGGGAACGAAATGCCATTAGCCAAAGGTACGAACATTAGTGATATTGAATATTATTTAAGCTCATCGAGGTCAAAAAATTAAAAGAGTGTATTTCTGTCACCGGCACATGCTTAATAGCAGATTTGAAGAGTAAAACATACAAACAATTAGCAAGGGGCTGGTTATCATCATCGTCCGAAACTGAGGTAATACGAATATATTTTTACATATCATTTTATACTAAAGGAAACCTAATGTTTTTAGCCTGAAGTCAAGAGACCGAGGACAAGGGCATTCGAAGCACGTGAAAGGGCAAGACGCAAATTAAGTTACTAATTTTTTCCTGCCAATAATAGTTTATAATATTATATATATATGTATAGGTTTTTAATATATTTATATAATGGATACACCGAAAAAACTGCGTCCACCCAAATCGTTGGTTGATAGCGATACCAACGAGTATAAAGAAACGGGA